GAGGAAATTGCAATATTACAGTGGCATCATACATTCACTCATTCATTGCACACAGAAGAATAAAAACACAGATCTATCTGCGTAACAGGTTTAGTATAATATAAAATCAAGCTAAAAAAAAAAAGACGATGCCTAAAAAAACAAATTACTTCTAAAAGTATAAATAAAAACAAATAATTTAAAAAAATGTACTGATAGAGTGCTGGAGTTATTGCACATAGAGGGATGGAGAAGTTATTGCACACTAATTACACATTAAACACATTATTGCACATTAAAGAGCTTGATGGAAGCTGGCAGGAAAGACCTTCGATACCGTTCAGTCTTACATCTTGGTGGGATCAGCCTGCCACCGAAAGTGCTCTGCCGAATCACCTCCAGGGCATGAAGTGGGTGCATGTCATTGTTCATTATAGCGTTCATTCTTCTCAGCATCCTCATTTCAGCCACCTGCTCAACCCAGTCCTGAGTAGTGCCAATGGTGGTGCTTGTCTTTTTAATCAGTTTATTGAGTCTGTTCCTGTCTGATGCACGAGCACCCACCCCCCAGCACACCACACCAAAGAACAGAGCACTGGCTACCACAGTCTTATAGAAGGAGCACAGCAGCGGTTTGCAGATATTAAAAGATTGAAGCCTTCTAAGAAAATACAGCCTGCTTTGACCCTTTTTATATACTGCCTCCATGTGGCTGGACCAGTCCAGTTTGTTATCCAGCTGTACTCCTAAATACTTGTAGTTAGACACAAGCTTCACCTCTGTTCCCTGTATGGAGACGGGGACTGGTTTGGGCCTATTCCTCCTAAAGTCAATGACCATTTCTTTGGTCTTTGAGATGTTCATCTCTTCAGACTGTTTTTGAGAGAGTCACTGTAAATCAGGTCATATCCTTTACTCTGAATATGAGTTATTACCTTCCGGGAGACGTTACAGAGCTAGTAAACATAAAAAAAATTGTTATAAGCTCTTCTTCCTCCCAGCGTCCATCACTCTTCAAACAAATTAAATGAAAATTTAAATTGGCCTTAAAAATGCTCCTGTGCCTTTATCCCTTGGTTTTATCTGGTTAATAATAATAACAATAATAACAATAATGATAATACATTTTATTTCTGGGCGCCTTTCATGACACTCAAGGTCGCCTTACAGAGTAAAACATAGAGTAAAATACAATAAAATACAAAGTACAAGATAATTCAAAATTTTACAACAAACAAACAAATATCAGTTTAAAAAGCAAACAAAACAAACATAAACAAAACATCTGTTCAGGGTGACCCACACAAAGAGAGTAGGAAAGCCTGAACAGGTGAGTTTTCAGCCTGGATTTAAAGTGTGGTACTGAATCAATATTTCGGAGGTCGGGGGAAGTGAATTCCAGAGTTGGGGGGCAGAGCGGCTGAATGTTATAGTGGATGCAGTAGGTGATGGGGAGCCAATGGAGCTGCTGTAAGATGGGTGTGATATGACTGGTGGATGGGGTCCTAGTGCTAATACGGGCGGCGGAATTCTGAACCATCTGCAGTTTATGGAGGTTTTCTGGGGGAGACCAAACAGGAGGGAGTTGCAGTAGTCAAGCCGGGAGGTGACAAGACTGTGAACCAGTATGACAGCGGTGTGAGGTGTGAGGGAGGGGCGTGAGCGGTTGATGTTGTGGAGATGAAAGTAGGCTGACCAGGTTATGTTGCTAATGTGGGATGAGAAGGAAAGCGTGCTGTCGAGGATGACACCCAGACTCTTTACCTGAGGGGAGGGGAGGATGGAAGAATTGTCGATCGCTATGGTGAAACTGTGGGCTTTGGCTAGAGTGGATTAAGTGCCGATTAGTAACATTTCCGTTTTATCACTTTTTAATTTGAGGAAATTGCACATGAACCAGGACTTTATTTCATCAATCAATCAATCAATCAGTTTTATTTATAAAGCCCAAAATCACAAATCACAATTTGCCTCACAGGGCTTTACAGCATACGACACCCCTCTGTCCTTAAGACCCTCACAGCGGATAAGGAAAAACTCCCCAAAAAAAACCCCTTTAACGGGGAAAAAAAACGGTAGAAACCTCAGGAAGAGCAACTGAGGAGGGATCCCTCTTCCAGGACGGACAGACGTGCAATAGATGTCGTACAGAACAGATCAGCATAATAAATTAACAGTAATCCATATGACACAATGAGACAGAGAGAGAGAGAGAGAGAGAGAGAGAGAGATGCAGGTAATGACAGTAGCTTACAACAACATTATTGAAAGTAATAATATTATAGTTATAGTTCTGGCTACTGTGGTACAATATGTTGAAAGTATGTATTAATATCAGACAGTATACTTGTGTGACAATAGTCATATGTGTATAGTAACAGTAGAAGTATGACTAATGACTAATGATGGCAGCAGCAGCAGGAGGCATCTGGCAGGACCACGGCAGCAGCACAACCACACACACTCATGAAGGCAGTCAGTAAGGAATGAGGGAGGGAGGGTGGAATCAGGTTTGGAGGAGATGTAGAGCTGGGTGTCTTTCGCGTAGCAATGGAAATTAATGTGGTTTTTATGGAAAATGTGACCAAGGGGGAGTAAGTAGATGATGAATAGCAGGGGCCCCAGGACAGAGCCCTGGGACACACCTGTGGAGACTGGGAGGGGGTGTGAGGTAAATGATTTCAGCTGAATGAACTCAGTGCAGCCAGAGAGGTAAGATTTAAACCAGTCAAGGGGTGTATGTGTGATGCCAATAGTATGAAGTCTGTCCAGGACGATGGTGTGTGAGATGGTGTCAAAGGCCGCACCCAGATCAAGCAGAATGAGGATGGATAATAGACCAGAATCAGCTGCCAGGAGGAGATCATTGGTGATTTTAAGCAATGCAGTTTGGTTAGTATCTTTTTATTTTATTTGTTCTTATCTTGATTTTATTTAGTTTTTAATCGGGTTACTCTGCTTTTATTTATCTATTTTATTGTCTATTTTTAAACTAATTGTCTTAAGGATGCTATTTATTTGCTGTTAGGATCTCTTTTTTTTATCTTCTTTGCACTTTAGCACTTACCTTGCTGACCTCTTTTGGGTGCTAAGGTTCTTGCTGCTCCGCAGTAAATAGGTGCAATACCCTGGGAAAAGTGCAATACTGTGTAGCCCTATAACAAAACACTGTGAATGTAGGCCGTTACTATTAATTACTGTGTGAATTATCTGTTGGTGTTTTAACTGTGTTCGCAGCTGTATGTAGCAATACTGTCTGCAACAAATTTCCCATAAGGGATAATAAAGTTTATCCTGATACTGATCCTGTTTTATTCCATGTTTTTTTTATTCTTTTATAATTTCTCTGTCTCTTTCTGAATAGCTAGTAGAAAGAGAATTTCCCTGCAAGCTGTACTGATTGTGTATATGACAAATACATTCTTATTTGATTTGATGAAAGGGCCCAGGGGCTAAATAGTTGAATCAATCTGTGGTTTGACTTGGGAAAAATTGCATCCAATTATTAAGTCTTTATTTGAGTGTTTGCCTGCTAATTATGGAGGAGGTGATGGCACACAGCTGTAATCTGAATATGTATTCCCATTAGACAGCACCATAAAACAGAAACACAAGTCAAAAATGGCAGTCTTGAACTTTAGCAGGGTTTTTGTTTCCTGTTGGATGTTGTGGCTGAGTCACGAATTTGGTGCCAATTTATTTTATGCTCATCACCTTAACATTTTTTTTTTTTAAAAATCTCTCCTCCTCTGGAGACAGTTGTCACATATACATATATATACCCCTTATCTCTTTAAACGCACTACCCCTCATTGTGGCTGAAACACAACAGCCTTTACTATGCTGACATAATGTTGCTTCTGTGTAGGTAGCAGGAAACATGATGTGGATGAAGCTCTGGTCAATATGATAGTGAAAGATTCACAACCTTTCACGGTGGTGGAAGATGAGGGATTCAGGAACCTCATCCATGTCCTTGATCCAGCTTACACTCTCCCAACGAGACAGGTTTGTGTTAAAAATCTATGATGCTAGTGTTGGTGTTACCATTAAAGTAATTTAGTATTATAGTAATATATTATATTTAGTATTATACTACTGCTGCTAAATTAGGATTGCTATACTACTACTTTATAGACTATCATGCACCTTTGTTTTCTTTTCCAGGCTCTAAAGGCTATGGTGGAGGATAAGTATAAAACTGCAAAGGAGAAGG